CTTCAGACGCTGGAAAGAAGCTGATGAAGCAGATCTGTGCTTCATCAGCTTCTTTGGGGGTCCTAGGTGACATTAGGGGTCTGGGAGACCCTTGATGTCTCCATAAAGAGGACCTGTCACATCTTTTGCTATCACATAGGGGGGTTACTTAGCCCCCTATGTAATAGCAATAAAGTTAAGTGGAAACAAAATTAAGATTAAATTTTTTTTTTTTTTTAAGTAAAAAAAATGTAAAGTCCCCACCCATACATACACGCATGCAAACATGCGTCAGGTGCGCATACCTGCGAAAACGATTGTGCCAGACATGTTGCATATCGCCACGAACATCAGTGTGAGCAATAATTCTAGGGCCATCAATCACTGATAACACTAAACTGATGAGCTATAAAAGTTTTTAAAGCGTCGCCTATGGCCAATTTTGGGTATGGTGTTTTTTTGCGAGTGCGCGCAATTTTTAAGCTTGACATGTTTGGTGTCCATCTTTTATGTTTTACCAAAAAATTGGGTAATAATGTTTCCTAACACAATGTAAAAAATAACTTTTTTTTTTTAATTTTCTGTAATTTTCCCGAAATATAGTAAAAAAAATAAGAACCGCAGTGGTGATGAAATACCACCAAAAGAAAGCTCTATCTGTCCCCCAAAAAATGGTATAAAATTCATTTCAGTACAGCGTTGCAGGACAGAATAAATGTCAAAGTACCGCAGCGCTGAATACTGAAAAATGGCCTGGCCAGGAAGGGGGTCTGAACACCTGGTCTTCAAGCGGTTAAAATAGGCCCAGCCGCCATAAACAACATATAGCAATCAATCGGCCGCCCGCAGAATCCAGGGAGAGATCGTCATTCCGCCGGCCCCGCCTGGGTGTCAGGGAAGACACACAGGCTGTTCCGGAAGCTTGGCAGCTTCTGTGTTCGGGCTGCGCCCTTTCATCTCAGGACGCATGCTGAGGCAACCAAAATGCCTTGGTTCCTTTAGCAGTGTAACGCCAGTGCGGCTGCGCCCCTCCAACTTTGGGTGCATGCCAGCACAGGCTCTTGTAGGGCGGCCAATAAGAAGAGAACTGGGATATGAAGTGATGTCATCTCCTTGCCTCTCCCAAAGGTGCACGCCGCTGTAGAGAGGTAAGATAGGGCAGTCTACATGCCCAATTATTGTAATAAATAACAAATACTTGAGCTGTGGAAAAAAATAAGAAATCATGCTAGTACATGTTCTAGGCTAAGAGAAATTACTTTTATTAAAAAAATGTTTTGTTTATTAAAGAAGTTGTTAAAAATAGGGGGTATGCCTTTTTTTTTTAACCACTGCTGTCATACTGCACTTTTGAGATGTAAATGTAACCTCGCCACAAATGTAGCAGAAGTTATCTGCATTGTTTACATTGTTTCATGACATCTTGGCTTCTGAGGGAAAATATTACACAACTGTTGCTTGGAAATGTTAGGCAATGACACCTTCACAAGCCACCAGATGGAATTGTATGAGGCATAGATCTGACCAAGACAACTGTACCTTGCAATAAAAGAATAAAATGACAGATAATAATCTTTAGTCAAACTCAAGATAAATGTATACACTTCCATGTGGTACCATTTTCATTAGAGGTGCACTGAAATGGAAATGTTAGAAACGAAACCGAAATAAAAAAAAATGTCAGGCCGAAACCGAAAATGTTTATTTTTGCAATATTTTATTTTTTATAAACTTTTTTATATTTATTTATTAATTCATTTATTAAATATTTTTTACTTTACTTTTAGGGGCTTTGGGGGAAATATTAGGGATCTAAATAGACCCCTGATATTTCCCTTTTAAAATAGAAAAAGAGATTGAGAACACAGCGTCTTCAATCTCTTTTTCTGCAGCCCCAGTTATCAATGAACAGGAATCCTCTATGTTTGTTTACTATAACTACAATTATGAATGAATGGGGGTGATGTAGATCACTACCATTCATTCATAATTGAGGATATAGTTAACATACCATATTCTCAATTATGTACACACACTCAGCGATCACTGATCGCTGAGTGTGTGTACCTTGCTTTTCTCTGACACGCTGTCACAGGAGGCTGATCGAGCGGTGTAGAGGAAAGCCCAGCCTCCTGTGACATCGCTGTCTCCGCCCACACACCGCTCTGCCGGACTGTGATAGGCGGCTGAGCGGTGTGGGAGGAGAGACGCCGGCCGCTCACAGAGCTCTCGTCCTGCAGCGCTCGGCCAGCTGTCACTTTCTTTTCTCCCCGCTGGAACAGCGGCCAGCGGGGAGAAAAGAAACCAGGGATGCGCCGATGTATCGGCCAAAACATGGCTCTTTCGGCATTATGCCAAAAGTGCCATTTTCGGCCGATATGTTTCGGCGCCGATATATCGGTGCATCCCTAATTTTCACTGTTCTACCGTACTTTGTCAAAACGTTACAAGGTATGATCATCAGACACCTCCCTCCCTTGTAGGCAAATATACTCACCTGTGTATAAATCTTTATTGTGAACTCTTGAAAACTAGCCAAACAGCACCTTATCACCTGTTTTCTAATTCATCTAATCAAAATATGTAAGAATGAACACATTTCATCTCGGAGGCCCCCTCCCAGAACAAAGGTGGAACATTAGTGAGCAATTGCTGTGCGTTCCAGCAGCTGCTGCTCTGGTGTGAATAAGTCCTTACTTAAAGGGTATGTATGTATAAATAAATATATTTTGGATGCAAAATAGGGGATCAGGACAAGAGTTGGGCCCCTCATTATTGCTGCATTACATGTGCAACTTATCTGCGTAATTTGCTAAGCAAGAAAGCCTATGCCTTTCACAGTCCCAGTGGTGTGGAGGGAACGCATCATAGTAGTGACTGCTATTTATGCATGGTTCCCCCAATTGCAAAAGGGATGTCAAGAAAGGAGAAGTGGACCGTGGAATATCCAAACATTCCATCTGCACTGCATCCTGTACCCCATGCTGAAATTCAAGTGCTGGCTGTCCTCCTGGTACCAGCATAGACCAACTTGCAGATTTCGGTACATGAAGGCTGCCCAGCTACCCAAACAGGCAGTTGCAGCAAGTATGAATGTAAAACTCCTGCATACTTTGTCATGGATCTGAAACCCATTTCTCCTCCATACCTGCATATATTAGGCGATTCTCAATTCTGTGGTGGAGAAGCAGGGCAAAGGTGATTATAAGATAATTGGAGAAGGGGCAAGACACTTTGCCATGGCTAGACAAAAGTGAAAGATGTTCAGTAAATGCTTAGTTCAGGCTCCTCCAGATTAGATGAACTTTGAAGTTTTGTGAAAATGGCCTGGCTCCGACAAGCTCTCATTGTAATGACAGCTGGTCCCATCCAATAGAAAACAGTTGGGCGGAGCTAGCTGTCACTGCTAGCTCTGCCCATTCTTTTCTGCTCGGTACCACAGAGGTAGCCTGAAGTGAATAGCCGAACAGCGTTCGGCTCACTTTACTTCGGTTATTCACTTGGCCGTTCTCGGCAGCTTTGTGAATAACCCCCTATGTGCTCCCAGTTATTTACAAACACTGGAATGATCACGCGATCACTCCGGTGTTTGTGCTGCACAGAGGGATCGTTAAACATCAATGATATTTATCGATCCTTTCGGGCACGCACAGAGCCACTGTCATCCGGAAACTGACAGGATGACAGCGGCTCCGTTCTCACCATTCAGCCATCCTGAAACTTGTGGCCTCTCCCCGCCAGCCGACGCTGGCTCCTCCGTCCCACCCCTGGAGATTTTTTGTAATCCCCGTTGCCACAGCCCCTACCAGCAGGGGGACAGCAGCGGGGATCCATGGAGTCACAGATCCCTGCCTGGAGCGGCTCCAGGCCGGGATGAGAGGCTCCAAATGCCGGCAACTTTCCCATTGATTTGATTTTCAACTGCTGCGTTGCTAGCATTTGTAAAAGACCCCCCAAACCATATATTTTCTGAAAGCGCAGGCCCGGTAGAATAAAAAGATGGTGATACTAAATTTGTAGGCCGTGCGATAATTGCACAATTGTTTCTCGATTAAACCGATAAAAATACACAATTCAATTGATAACACACTAAAATCAGTATCACCACAAAAAAATAATAATTTTCTGACTAAATCTAAAAGATAAAACTGTATTGAGTTAATAAATAACAAATATTTGCAAATTTGAAATTGCGCCTTTTTGCTAAAGGTAAAAAAATTAAGGTACGCAAAACTGTAAATAAGTGACTTATGTTAAAAAAAAAATTTTACGCTGTATTGGTGTTTGTGTTGTGATAAAATGATACAGGCGTATATTTATTGCAACATAAAGATCACAACGCATGGCAATGCGTCACAAAGCTTTGCCATGCGCTGCCACAGTTAATAAAAACATTTTTTAAAGAAAAAAATCATGCACTGCGATGCGAGGGAGGGACAGGGCGGCCGGCGAGGGAGGGACAGGGCGGCCGGCTGCAGTGGTCTGTGTCCCCGCTGCCTCTGCCGATACAGGCGGGGAGTGAAAGGGACAGACTGCTGCAGCCAGCACCGGCAGAACGCAGGATCACAGCAGTGGCAACTATTAGACGATGAGAATAATTGCCAACAATTCAAATTATCGCTTATGATGTATTAGTTGTTGCAGCCCTATAAACATGTAATGAGTGCAAGTACATGTCAAAATATAGTGGTTAGCATGCAGCAGTAAATGCTGCTGGGCACCACCATAATTCTGCCATGGCCTTTACTAGTCACAAAGCTGGGGCACACAATAAGGGCTAAGCTGTCAAACAATGGTCTACTAAACTCTCAATAGAAGCCAGAAGGCCGCCAGGCAGATAAACCATTACATTTCCAGAGACTATACCAAAGTTTTCAATCACTGCAGAACAGAGCTTTGAGTATTCAAACACGCAGGTAAGTGGCGATTCTTCTTTTCCTTGAGGGATACTTCCTCAATTACAGCAGGGATTCCCAGCCATGTACAAAACATTTTTTCAGCATTTAAACAGAAATTCACAATGCTTTATGAAAAAAAGTATTTTTAATAGATTTATAATTTAAATAACTTAGATTGGAAAAAAACTAACAAAAGCAGGCTTTAAAAAACAAAACAAAAAAATGGGGAAAGGATATGGATGTAATTGCTCCCCAAAACTTTCTTCACCAGCCCCTCCCACTTGGTCTAATGTTCACTCGTACATAATTTGACCTGAATACTTCCCTGCCCCTTCGGGTAATGTTTATTTTTTTTCCAACTTAAAGTCGCCTCAAGGCTCTCTTTTTGTCTGTTTTCTTTTTCGCTGCAAGTTTCTTGTCTCGGTCTCCAGCATGTTTCTTGGCCATGGGTCCATCGCCAAGAGTACCTGTGGCTGATGCAGAGGAGCAGGGGTCCGTAGGATCCTTGCCCCTTAAGGATGAGCTGTGTGCATGAATTTCTGTCATGAGTCTTGCACGGGATGCGTACTCTTCATAGTTTTCCAGTAAGAGACGACCAGCCTCTTCGTTCAGTGCCGACTCTGGGTTTGGGTGAATCAACAAACACTTTATTGTCTTAAGAGAAAAAAAATATACACAAACATTAGTGAAAGCCTTCAAATGTTTAACAAAGTTCTCTTATATACAAAAAAACTTTCAAAAATATGCTTTGAGCCAAAAGCTATTTAGATCCAAACCCAAACATTAAAACCTAATATAAGCTTTAACACATTGAATTCCAAACGTTTTCAGTCTTTTAAAAATAAATCTCTATAAGCATATAAGAGATTGTTGATCCAGGAAATATCAGATTGCCTTATGGGATCAGGAAATATTTTTTCCCCCCGTTGGAGCAAATTGAACCATGCTTTATAGGGGGAGGGTTGCCTTCCTCCGGATCAACATTGGGTAATTGTTGGCATAGCGTTCTGTTTAGGCTTTTTTTTCATATCTCTATAGGTTGAACTCGATGGATATGTGTCTTTTTTCAACCTGACTATGTATACATTTATAATATTGATAGTTCAGCTATTGTTCAGGCACTTTATTGGGTGACATCTGTCTTCCAATTGTGCTCCTGGGTTGTCACATGCACCCTTGTTGGTGACTAAATATGTGCTTGCTCCAGGTCAGTGACATCCAGATACATCTCTCACCAGCTTATAACAATGGTATCATTGTTGGTGTGAAGTGCAACAAAATGGTATACGTGGGGAATTGGCAATAAAGATGGTCTACAGATGGTCTGAGAGCAATATTCATCTCCTCCCAAACTGAGTGGGCATGGAATAGTGTGAATTGAAAATGTTCTTGATCAGCAATGGGCGTGGGGGGTGGATAAGCATGAGGGTGTTTGAGAGGAAGGTGGCTGACCATAGGGTTAGTGGGGGGACCAATACATAAGGGGCAAGAGGAAGGGAAAGAGGGGAACTGATGAGGGGAAAAAAAAGGGGCGTCTGCAGGGTCCAAGGGTAAAACCGAACTCTGGAGAAAACATGTGTTGGTGGTGTCAGGGAGCTCAATGAAGGGTGGACTCTTTCCTCAGAATTGAGAGGATGAACATGACATCACCTGAAAATATGGATCTGATTTTTCTCCTGTGTTCTTTATATAGCATTTAGGACTTCAATAAAAAAAGTTACTCACCCGAACCTCTAAGCCTGATTACTCTGACCAGTCCCTGGAGCCTCTCACCGCCTCCGCTGCAGCAGCCTAAGGTCCCCGGAGTCATTACGTTCTATACACAGTTTATAAAACGTGAGGACGCCAAGTGACATCTTAACTGAATGGTGGCATGCCTGCCCAGTTATCTCTTGCAAAACTACTCAGACCCACCCACTATCCTATGTCCACAACAAACGTTTATTTTGTAGTTCCAAGACGAGGACTGGGAGGGCCAATTGTTCTGCTTGAAATAACAAAAGCAGAGGACACATGACAGCTCTAAATTTCTGAATCAACAGGTTTTTGGACAATAGATATAGCACTATGAATAAAATATTCAACACACCAAAAGGGTGAAAATTAGAAATCCATTGCTAGGGTTTTCTTGCATTGAAAAGTGAACATGTTATTTTCTAGGCAACACTGAGAAATAGCGCTTTGGCATTGTTCTTATTTTGTTGCATTACCACCTGGAATTAAAATGGATTTTTATTTGGATTACATGTAGACACACAAAATAGTCCAAAATGGTGAAGGGAAATCAAGAAAATTACAATTTATAATAATTTAAATTAAAAAAACAAAAGTGGTGCATGCATATGTATTCACACCGTTTGCTATGAAGCCCCTAAATAAGATCTGGTGCAACCAATTACCTTCCGAAATTTGTTAAAGACCACCTGTGTGCATTCTAAATGCCACATGATCACAACTAATATATGAGATAGACTCATTACATGCAAAGCAAGATAGTTCAAGCACCAATCAATACAGAAGAGCTGAAGGCCGCTATTGAAGCATCCTGGGCTTCCATAACACCTCAGCAGTGCCACAGGGTGATAGCTTAAATGCCACGCCGCATTGAGGCAGTAATTGCTGCAAAAGGGGCCCAAACCAAGTACTGAGTACATATGCATGCTTATACTTTTCAGAGGTCCGATATTGTTCTATGTACAATCCTTGTTTTATTGATTGCATGTAATATTCTAATTTTCTGAGATTGTGGGTTTGGGGTTTTCATGAGTGTAAGCCATAATCATCACAATTATGACAAATCACGGCTTGAATTATCTTGCTTTGCATGTAATGAGTCTATCTCATATTAGTTTCACCTTTAAGTTGCATTAGTGAAATAAATGAACTTTTGCACGATACTCTAATTATTCGAGTTTCACCTGTATATACCCCTTCTGAAAGGCCCCAGAGTCTGCAACACCACTGAGCAAGGGGCACCACCAAGCTAGCATCACCATGAAGACTAAGAAGCATCTCTAAACAGGTCAGGGACAAAGCTGTGGAGAAGTACAGAGCAGGGTGGGTTGGTAAAAACATCCAAAATTTTAAACATCTCACGGAGTACCATTAAATAATGGAAAGAGTATGGCACCAGAATAAACCTGCCGAGAGGGCTGCTCACTAAAACTCACAGCAAGCATGAAAGGCATTAATCAGAGGCAACAAGACCACCAAAGATAACCCTGAGGGTTCTGTAAAGCTCCACAGTGGAGATTGGAGTATCTGTCCATAGGACAACTTTAAGCCGTACACTCCACAGAGCTGGCCTTTATGGATCAGTAGCCAGAAAATATAAGCAAATACATTTGCTGTTCGCCAAAAGGAAAGTGGGAGACTCCACAAACATATGTAAGAAGGTACTCTGGTCAGATGAGACTAAAATTGAGCTTTTTGGCCTTCAAGGTAAACGCTCTATCTGATGCCAACTAGGGATCTTCAGTACTTGGTACAATTACAGATACTTTTATAGCTCCAAGACTAGATGAAAAACTCAACTTAGGAGGCAGTCATTTTAAAAGGAGCATACAGGGCTCCTGGGATTTGTACATCCCTGCTATTAATGTATGATTTGTTACACTGTACCATTTTTTCCAGACCAAGTACCGTACTGAAAATTGTGCTCACAGTACTCAGATACAATTACTGATACATTTTTGTTTTGTGTAATGCGACAGTTTTTCTAAAACACAGACTAATTATTTCAGGACAGTGGTGGAGCACCATGACCCTGCCACAGTTGCAACCATGATAGTTCTCATGAAAATGCCAAGTATCAGCACTGGTATCTGAGCATCCATAGTGCAAACCCAACACATCAGCACCTAGAGAACACCATCCTCACACTGAAGGTGGTGGCAACATCATGCTGTGGGAATGTTTTTCATCAGCAGGGACTGAGAAACTGGTCAGAACTGAAGGAATGATGGATGGCGCTAAATACAGAGAAAAGGGGTTAATACCTTTGCAAACTACTGTAATTGTGCCTAAGCAGTACCCTAAAAAAAGGTAGCATTTGCCTTGAATTCCTCCCAAAAAATAGCAGTGCACTTAGTATGCGAGTGTGCCTGCGTGCCAGTATGCCTTGGCATTAAACAGATTTCTACATACTCACCAGTAAGACATGCCTTATGCCCAACTCAGCCTTCCAATCTTTTTTCAAAACATTGACACAGATTTCTCCATTGGAACTAACATTCGGATGAAAGATTTTGGTAAGAAAGTATCCTTTGGGAGGTGCTGCTGGGAAATCTTTACCCAATATTAACTTCATTCGGAAAATACCTCCTGCATATGGGGTCCCCTCTGCAAAAGAAATACAAATACAACTAATGAACTAAAAAAAATAATCACCGTTTAGAAAACTGAAAATCTACAGACTGAGAAAGCAGACATACAAGGGCTATGGGACAATCAATGCAGTGTCACTGGAAGATATATACAAGGACAAGTAAAAGCTAAATCATTCTTGGGGTGCAATAAAATTCCCATTCCTAAAAAGATACCCCTGCCATCTTTGTAAGATTATTCAACTGCCTAAATGGGCTTGTGTATAAAAACAAATACAGCTCACTGATATTCAGATAAAGTTATCAAGAATAATGTTTTCAGCAAACAAATATCACATTTACTTTACATGTAACCAATTATTAAAGTGACACAAACATTATTGACAAATATTTAGAAGTGTATGAATTTTGGAAACTGCTATTGACTGAAAAAAATGCCTTTAATGCAGAACTTAATTTGCCCTTGCAGTGGGGCCAACCTCTCACTGCAAGGGTTAACTGCTCGCTTTGGTCTAGGGTTGAAAATAAACTACTCACCCGATCCTCAGAGAAGGCCGGATGTGACAGCACTCCTTCCAGCCTGGCTCCTCCGCCCCAGCAACGGTAAGTCCTTCAGCATCCTCATGTCCTATACACAGTGTACAGAACGTGATGACTCACAGGACCTTAGACCACTGCAGGAGGTAAAGAGTGGCTCCAGGGACCAGTCTAACAGTAAGCAGCCTCCAAAGATCAGGTGAGTAACTTATTTTCAGCCCTAGACCAAAACGATGTAGTGTGGTGGTAGCCCCACAGCAAGGGTTAATAAAACATTTTCCCGGAGTTAGTCTTTAAGTGAATGTTTAGGGAAATCTGTCAGAATGGAGGCTGCCATTGCTGACCTTTTGAGAATGCTAGTTCCCTGGCTGTCATGATGAGGCTCTTTAGTGCTGTCTGAGTCTGACATGGAACAAGTATGAAGATGACGAATTGGCACTTCCCTAACAATTTACAGCATACTTTTTCCAGGTCTCCGATTCTAAAGTTATACAACTTGCATGTCCAGAAGCAGGCCAGCAATGGCAGCCCCAAACTATTCTCATGACAAAGTTGCCTTAAAGGACAATTAAACCCACGCATTCTTTGCATATATGTACTGCTAGAAAGCAGTAGACATATGTAAAAACATTAAGTTAACAAAAAGTTGAAAACTTACCTGTGTCTCTGTGCGCACCCCCGTCCGAAAATCTTAAGATTCTCGGGCGGCCGCAAAGGATTATGGGTCGAGTGCATGTGCAGTAAAGATCTTCGGCCAAGAAAAGAGGAGACACAGTGTAAGTCAATGCAGGCAGCGTGCACCCAAACAGGCTCTGATGGACAGGAGCCAGCGCTGGAGGGACTCCTGAAAACTACTGGAAAGAAGATGATCGGATCAAGAGGCATCACTTTACCTCCCTGGCGGTCTGATTATTTCCTTTTTTGTTTCTATTTTAAGTTTTCTTACTTTTAAATTAAAAATTGAATTTTCTGACCAAAACATAATATAAACGATGTCAGTCTGAAACCAAAAATTATTTTAACATTTTTAAATGTATTTTTTTTAATGTACTGTTTAGGGGCTTTTGGGAAATATCGGGGATCTAAACAGACCCCTAATATTTCCCTTTTGGAACAGAAAGATTGAGAACACTTACTATGCACTGCACGGGAGCCATTTCAAATTAACACTAAATATATTTGAGAGGTTTTGCTGATGTGTACAATCATTTCAAAATGTTTTAAGTGTGTAAAAGTATAATTCTTACTAGGACAAAACAGCACAAGGAAGATTTACCTGAAGTAAATCTTTTGTGCATGTCATTAACTGACCTATAAGTACACCACTTAGTGCCTACATGACAAGAAGCTTTGCATTTGTTTTTATTTGTCACATATTGCATTGCGCTTGTATGGGCTTTTGAAGTGAATGATGTATGATGAATGCAGTAATGAATCGCACAGAGTTAATTATCTCATGACCCTTTTGGGAAATGTCAAATATCTGACCATGTGGTCACATACGTCTTCAAAATACCAACCTGGCCCTTCAATGCTGACTTGCACATCGGTTATGTCTTCTTCATTTGGAATGATCTTTATTCCTTCTGGAGGATCAGATGTCAAAGTAGAAACCTCCTTGTATACCTGGCGAATCACATGTGGGGGTAGGTTTTCAACGTTTGAATTCTGAAAACACACAAAAAAGAACCATTATAAATACCGTATATACTCGAGTATAAGCCGTCCTGAATATAAGCCGAGGTACCTAATTTTACCACAAAAAACTGGGAAAAAGTATTGACTCGAATATAAGCCGATGGGAAATGAGGCAGCTAATGGATAGATACTAGGGCTGCAACAACTAATCGACATAACCGATTGAAAAAATTGTCAACTTTTTTAATAATCGATTAATCGGCTTCCGATCAGTTGGCTCGTTCACAGCTCCACGCGCTGTGCGCCGCACCTCCTCCCCACCTCACGCTCGCCGCTGCCAGACCCGCACGCATCCACGCTGCACCTCCTCACATTTCCTGCCCATCCACAATCGGCACAGGGACGCAAGGAGATGTAGTAAGGAGGAGCAGGTGTGGGGGGATGACAGCCGCTGATAGACAAGTTGCTGGAAGACTGCACTTTCCCACACATTGTGCTGTATAATGTATTGCTGGGATTTGTATTCCTCTATAGCTGATGGTACATTGTGCTGTATATTATACATAGGAATACAAATCCCAGCAATACATTATACACTGTATGTATAATGTGTTGCTGGGATTTGTTGTACTCCTCTATAGCTGGTGATAATCTGCATTGCATTGTATAGAGGACTACAAGTCCCAGCAATAATACATTATACAGCGCAATGCAGAATACCACCAGCTATAGAGGAGTACAACAAATCCCAGCAATACATTATACATACAGTGAATAATGTATTGCTGGGATTTGTATTCCTATGTATAATATACAGCACAATGTACCATCAGCTTTAGAGGAATACAAATCCCAGCAATACATTATAGAGCACAATGTGTGGGAAAGTGCAGTCTTCCAGCAACTTGTCTATCAGCGGGGACTTGTCTATCAGCAGGGACGAGTCAGCGGCGCCCTGGTCCAGTGGGAGGAGCTACAGGTGGGGTCCTAATTTAGCTGACTTAGAGGTGCCTGCCAGCTAGATTACAACCCCACCTGGAGCTCCTCTCGCCTGGTCAGCGCGCCACTGACTCATCCCTGCTCCTGACTGGCCGCTGCGGGGGTTTTTTTTTCTTCTTACCTCGCCGAGCGTCGCGTCATTGCTGCTCCGGTGGGCGGCTCTCCGATCCAGCGCTGACTCCTCTCTGCTTGCAGGCACTTCCGATCCAGCTGTGTCTGCATGCGGGTGCACGGGTCCATAGACTTACCTTGCATCCCTGCTAGTCTCCCGGCCGAGAATCCGAACTGCGCATGCGACCGCCCCAAGATCCTGTGTGGCCGTACGAGCGGTTACTGATTCTCGGCACGGGAGTGTGCACCAATAACGAGGTAAGTTTAAACTGCTGATAAAGCGGGTTTTTAAAAAAACTTTTTGCATACATCTACTGCTCGCTAGCAGTAGATATAGGCAAAAAAAGGAGGGTTTAGAACCCCTTTAAAGATATGCTGGTGATTTGCCTGACTTCAAAAGTTGGCCCTATATTGTGTACCGGCTGCACTGTGCCAATGGGAGAGAATTGCGTCTAAGCCCCATGAAGGGCAGGCTGGGATTTCAATGGTTTAGAATAAACCTTGAACGTTTACTGAAGTCACAGGCTCAACAAATACTTATGGTCGCATGGTGCTGCAAGCCATAGCTCATCCAAACATTTCCTCATTCCACCCTCACCAGCAAACAGTAGTCATTTTAAGTAATTAGCATTAAAGAGTGATTAACCTTTGGAAGTCATACCAATGAGACAACTGTCAGTACACACCTAAATATACACCCAAACTCACCAAGTATAAATAACGTCCTATGAATATCTGCTACTGAATCACCTGCACAACGAAACTTCACAACACACATACCCACACCTGTACTTACGCTGGCTAGATCTTCACTGTGAGGCTGCACAACTGTCACTGCAAAGTCTCCCGGCCTTCACATAGGAATGAATGGAGATTTTTCCAAGTATGCACAGAAGCTACAGTCGGGAGACTTTACAGTGGCAGCTGCGTGGGTCCCAGCAAGATCTAGAAGGAAAGGAGGAAGCCTCTTGCCTCTGGTGAGCAGTCTGTCGGTCGCATTGACGAGCAGCCCTGCATTGAACATGAGGACAGAGGCCACCAACAACCTGGGGGGTTGTAGGGAAGACAGCGCCAGCTGCCAGGGGAGCAAGGCATAAATATGAGTGTATTCTTTTATGGTGTCCTAGGCAAAAGCAGTGCCACTGCGAGGAGAAAAGAAACCCACCTTTCAGCCCTTCCATTGGCACCTTAAGATTTTCCTCATTTAAAGTGATCCTGCCTGCCACCACAGGGCCACTTGTATTCAAAAGCATACCCGTAAAAGTTAGCGTACCTACTTTTCTGGTGACCCACGTGCTGAGTGGCCACTTCCTGCTCTCTGCACACTCAGGTACACGACCTGTCAAGTGGGTCAAATACCTGTGTGTGTGTGTGTGTGTGTGTCCCCTAGTTTCTCTAGTCAGCTTGTACAGCCTGTTGTGACATAAGCTGGTGGAAGAAAGCACTGTGCGCAATGGGGATCAGGTATTATACACACAGGTGAGCACAACCACAGGCAGCAGTGTTTTAGGTTTTGGGGGGAAAGCTTTGTATCACCTTTCACACAATGGATGCCCTTAAAAGAGCCAAAATTCCCCAGAACTCTTGAATCAATGCTTAAGATAGTTGCAAATGTCACGTTTGGGGACTACAAGGTAATTCCCCAGTCACACATTTAGAACTACATTTGAGGGATGCGACCTAACACTTTGGTCCCTGTGTGCGTTATAAAAGCCACTACTCCAAGCTCACTCCTGTGGACTACAATCTCATGTTTAAATGACTAATTCGTGCATATTGTAGTTCATCACAGGAGTGAGTTGAGTGGTGACTACTTTACAACACACACAGGGACCATGTGGGACAAAAGTAGCCACCCTCCAGAAGGAAGGACAGTGTCAGCACCAATTCAGAGATGATTGGAGGATCTACAGCCGAGTGATACACAAATAGGATACATTTTGTGAATAGTTGGATATTTGATTGCATTTTGAAGATTTAACGCCTGAGTTTAGTGTCACTTAACTCATCCACGATGGGGGAGGGAGAGGAGACACTGCAAGGGCTGCATTTTTAGGAACCCCGTACATCAGATTTAACTATCTCCTATGTCAGATGCTATCTAAAATAAGTGTTTTTGGCTTTAGACACCTAAACTTTTTTTACACATCCTAGCAGCAGGTTAAAGCTGAACTCCAAGCCAAATCAGGCCAAGATTGTATGTGTATGGACTGCCACATCGACCAGTGCGGACGCACCAATCTAGGAATAAAGTGGATAATCCGGAACGGGATCACATGAAGAAATGCTGGTTCCTGAGCAGTAAAACCAGCACCGGACAAACACCTGCATGCTCTGCAGATGTGATTGCACATGTTTATGCCACAAGTGTTCAGCAATCAGATCCTTCCTGTGTCTATAGAGACAGTTAGTTGATGGGCCGCACTATGAACAGTCATTAGATGGCAGAGACATCACACAACATAGATGTAGATCACACAGAACACAAAGAAGGAAATGTACACAGGACATAGACAGCAGGAAATCTCACACACCGGCCAGGCCTGGACACTGACAGCACATACCATGCCTCTCTATGTGTTACTTTCTGGAGCAGGGAAGATAAGCGGTATACCGGAACGACTGATCGGTGTTCTATTGTGACTCCCGGTAACAGACAGGCCTGGGTATCTGTACGCGGTGACAAGGATGTGACGTTGATCGTACAGCTCGGAGGCCTTAGGCCTAACCCTTGTTTACGAGCGCCAGCTTTCGCCTTCCGTTCGCGGTGCCCTCCTCCTAGCTCCCCCGCTCTCCTGACACCCAGGCCGCCTTCTTTCACTTGCGCTTCCCGGCATAAGCCTCTACGGGCCACCGACACCCCTTCATATAACCTTCGTCCCCTTCTAACCACGCCTACTCAAATTCGACCCGGCGGTCCAATCAAAACAAAAAGACGTCACGTGAGTTGACCAATAGCAGCCAGCGACCGGGAGCGTTTCCCAGTAATCTCGCCTTCCATGTGACTGACTGGGCGTTCAACCAATAGCCTGCCAGAAGATGGAGATCGACCCGCGTCAAAGATAACACAGGGCCGTCTATTGGTTGGTTTGAACGGCACAAAGCGACGCCGGAGAGGAGGGGCGGGCTCTGTGCGTTAACGGTCGCTTTTGTTTGAGCTGCGGGGATAATTAGTTAATGGCGGGAAGTGATGTTCGCACCGGTGTCACCGGCAGGAGGAGGTGGTGGTTGTTACGTAGCAAGCAGAGGAAGGAAATAGTATGTACGCACGCTGGTCATTCAATACCCCAGAGCTACAGGGACATCACGACACACGTGAGGCACCGATTACCGCACAATTACCCGTGCAGTACGGTATAGCACATTGCTACGTTCCATTTTCCTCCTAAGCTTGCCGGTTGTCACGTTCTGGAAAATAACACTTAGAGCTGAGCAGTTTTTTTTCTCTTTTAACCGAACCCTTTATGGGAGTAAGTTCAGCCATTTACAAAGTGCATATTACAAATATGGAATCCATAACATGTCATAGGGACCTGACATGTGATCATATGACATGTGGCTGCACATGTGACAGCTTAAGGGTCGGTGGACACCTATGTGACACCCCACTGTGCGGCAATCGTGCAGGATTCCGTGCAGTCAGGAATTGTATAGGTGTGTTCCGATCGCGCTGTGGGTGCCACTATTTTCCAATGGCACCCCTGTCACGTCGGGCAGATCGCCCGGTTTTCCCCGCACGATTCCACCCGTGCTTCTGAACACGATATTCATATACAGATGGAGGGGAATTGATCAAAACTGGAGCAACCAATCAGCTTCTCTCTTCAGTTTGTTCCAATAAGATTTGATAATGAAAGATAGAAGCTGATTGGTTGGCAACTACTCCAGATTCTTCTGCAGAAGCTATTGCTTCCTGTGCTATCTGCTGGGTTTTTTTTTTTAGTATTTTGGCAGCTGCTGCCGTCAGAAAAAAAAACTGCATATGAATGAATAGCTAGATTGCTATTGGCCATTTTAAATTGCAATAGCCAACAGCAGGCTGGCTATTGCACCCGCCCTCTGCTGCTGTCAATCAGCAGAGGAGGACCTGATGGGGAACTTCAGGTCCACCTCTGCTGATTGACAGCAGCAGTGGGCGGGTGCAATAGCTAGTCTGCTATTGGAAATTCAAATAGCCAATAGCAATCTAGCTATTCATTCCTATGCTGTCTTTTTTTTTTAACTCTGATGGCAGCTCCGGTATCGGAATAAAATCAAAAAGTCAAAAGGTTTACTCTGCTAGATCGAGCAGAGTAAACCTTTCCGGGAGAAAATGCTGCTCTCCCGGGCGGCCAGGAGCTGCTATCTAATAGTGGGAGACTCCCAGAACGTCCGGGAGAGTTGGCCAGGAGCTGCTATCTAATAGTGGGAGACTCCCAGAACGTCCGGGAGAGTTGGCCAGGAGCTGCTATCTAATAGTGGGAGACTCCCAGAACGTCCGGGAGAGTTGGCCAGGAGCTGCTATCTAATAGTGGGAGACCCCCAGAACATCCGGGAGAGTTGGGATGTCTTGAGTCTGCTCCAGTTTTGATAAATTCCCCTCAGTGGCGTATATATATATTCTAGAAATCTGTCTGGTGGTAGTGTGACAAATGGCGGATTCATGTACATGTCAATAAGGTGGATATGAATCTGACACATATCTGACAGACCTGCACTCATCTCTCATGCACAGTGGTCGAGTTTTACAGAAAGTTGTTGGGAGATTCATGGAAACGTATGAAATATTAGTTTGTCCTGGTGATCACTATCACTGAGAGTGAAAGAAAAGCCCACATTTTGGGTTGTCATCAAAACAGGAACAGATGGGAAACCTTCCAATGGGGACACTAGATCTGGTGATCCTGCTGACCACCAGGGATTTCCTCTCACTTCCTGTTGTGCCTATCAGACAGGAAGTGAAGGAAAATCTCACCAATGGGACACAGATGGCAAAACGAATCTGACGGGTTTTAACTAGAGGTGCACCGAAATGGAATTTTCTGAGACAGACTGAAGCCGAAAACAAAACAATTTGTCAAATTGAATATTTTTTTTTTCTAACCTTTACATTTTTTTTTTATATATATATTTTTTTTTTCTACTGTAACTTGGGGGCTTTGGGGAAATATTAGGAATCTAAGCAGACCCCTGATATTTCCCTTTTGAAATGGAAACAGAGATTGAGGACAGAAAGCCCTCAACCCCTTTTTCTGCAGCCCCTGTTATCAATGAACAGGAATCCTCTATGCTGAGTGTTCCTGTTCATTCATACGTTGTGGAGATAGTATGAGTTACTATGTCCGCAATCCTGAATGAACAGGAAATGATGTAGAGCACTTCCTATCCATTCATAATTGGGGACACAGTAAACATACTCTGTCCTCAATTATTTACAAACACTCAGCGATCCCTGATCATTTAGTGCTTGTACCCGCTCTCCATCCTGACTAAGAGACCATTCACACCAGGGCAGCTGCAGATCAGCGCGGTTTCCGCGCTGATTTCAAAAGGGAGGTTTTGGGCGTTTTTAATTGCGTTTCAGCGCTGAAACGCTATTAAAAACACCCAAAAGCGCACTGATTAGGTTCCATTGAAAGCAGTATGGAAACCGCACTGGTCAGCGCGGCAAAAAAGGGTCAGGGAGCAATTCGGGCGGGGGGCGGTTTGGAACGCGCTGAGCCGCGCGGTCGCATGAACGGTCCCCATAGCAATGTATGGGTTTTTTCATGTCGGCGAATCCATTCAACATGTTCTTTCAGCAAAAGTCGATCTAATGACTGATTTCTGCTGAAGGAATAGGGTCACCAACGTAGCAGATTTGGGCCATTCCTGTTGGCCGATTAGCTCCATGTGTACCCAGCTTTACCAAAAAGTTCTGGCTTCAGTTCTACTTTGAAGGCAAATGTTGTCTCAAAGCTGCGATACACACATGCAATACAATCAACAATTTCCTCCGTCATGGAAGAGGTCCTATTTACCTCCACTTTGCTTATCACCAACATGGCGATATTTCTTATTTATTCAGTAAACGTGCTGCACACAGGAACGACATGACTTTGTCACACACGTCGCTACTAACAATGAAACTCGCTGGGTTTTCATGAATTTGGCACAAGACTTCCAACTACATCAACAAACCGCCAGAAATGTGTCACAAATGTCTTACTGAATTGTCCCCAGAAAGTTCTGCACTCTGCACCGTCTGTATACAGGGAGTTCTATGATTGCTCCTTGTAGGTCAGATACAACAGCAACATAACCGGCACGTCCCAATGTATGGAATGCCAATGCACTAACATGCGTAAGGTATGTTAATGTATGTTGCTCACAAGCGCGCAGTAATGGAGTAAAAATATTGAATGCATCACTTTCGTCAGTGCAGTGATGTGCTGCAACACAGGTGCTCTAGGAAGGTGCATTCCGAATGAAGACTAAACACACAACACACAGCTCGCTCCTGTCGTGCATTCTGGTAATTACATTTGGTGCGCGGATAACCCTTTTCTGGAGTAATTGTCTCAAAAACTGTAAAACCGGCACACGATCCTCTTCCCAAGAAAATCAAATTGTACTCTGCTTATGTGCTTCTGCCTTACCCAGCCTTAGTTATAGTCCAGCTATGACTAAGGCCGAAACACGTCAGCCGTTGTGGTTTTTTTATACAGATGCATGTGGAATAAAATGTGATTTTCTTTGGAATAGCATTGCGTGACGGTTTTGCATTCTGAATGACACTTCAGTGCACCAACGTGTGTAATGCGCGTCGCTGCAGCACATTGGTGTGAATGGGCTCTAATAGCACGTATGTATTCCACTTGGGCTGAACATGACAATAATAGAGGCAGGGTTTGATAGTGACAGGTCTGCAGGGGATTATTATTTATAGTAGTTTGGCCCCCTGAACAAATAGCAATGCCTTGACAATAGGTAGACGAAGGGGGCGTGCCCCGGAAACGCGTCAACGTCATCTGCACACTGGATCCCCTCAGTGGATGTCCATCTGCTGTCAGCTTACATTATATGGCTGTCTTTTATCTATGTCTGTGAGTATCTTTCGGTTTATTTTTGACTATTGAAAATAAAGTTGATCTGCACCAGGAAAGGCGCCCCCTCTGTTTTCTTTTCCCAGATTCCACAGCTTTCCCGGCTTCTTTGGGGGGCAGCATCCTGCAGTGTGCTTTTAAGGATTTCCCATTGAGGAGGGATTGTCTTTTTGCGGCGCTTCATTGCTTTGACTTTGTTTATAGGTAGACACAACAGGACAATATGTGGGCAGCAAATGGGCAATCTTTACAGTATGTTGGCAGCAAACAGTCAATCATTGCACCATATGAGCAATTGCCCAAACAATGCACAATTATGACATTATAAGGACATAGACAATATCTGAAGCCCAGTCTGGTTCCAGTACAGCAGCAGGTAGTTGTGTCCCATCTCCCTCTGACCACACGGGTCCTCACAGGTCAGAAGTAGGACATGGGGAAGAGAGCACAGTCCACACCTCCTCCTGGCCAACTCCTCCTTTCCAGTGCTGGACTGCTGGGTGTAGTATTGTTTAGCAAGGATGACTGATGTCCTGCATTCTTCCTTGCTAAAAGAACGACTGTTCTTATAATTCTAAGGGGGGAGAGATACTATTATCGGTATCGGTGCATCCCTAATTGTCATACAGGCTGGATTTCAAACATGTCTGCCTTTGTTCATCTCCATGACATGCTAGACTGATGGGAATAATAGTTTACACAATAAAGATAGGATTCCTTCTGCTAGCAAGTAACAAGGACACGGCAATTCTGGCACAATCAACGGGGTTTTATGTACTTGTTGTAAATGTTTTTATCCTAAAAAGTGAAAACGAATGCAGCCGCCATATCTAAGGACTAAGCTGCAATATATTTTTGTTTTCGGGTTTAGATATGCTTTAACCTCTTGCTCATCAGAAGAG